GGGTCCTGGCTGGAATGATGGCTGGCAGGAGGGGTGGTGGCAGGAAGCTTGGGGAGACAGAAGGGGTATGAGGAGACGGCTTTGTTTCTCTGGTCAGTAACTGGCTCCTGGCTTGCTGTTTCCTTCCCTCTTCTTGAGAGCACTTTGTCATCCATTCTCTTTCAGGAAGGGATTCTGGGCACTGTGTTTGGCAGCCGGGACAGTGAAGATAAGAGGGCGTTAGGGTGGCAGTGTGATGCCTGCACACAGGCCATGCCCAGTGCTGGGGGAAGGACTGTTGTCCTGATGGTGGGACTGGGTTTGACTCACACAGTCTGTTTCCTGCTCTGGGAGGGATGTGTGAAGCTGGGCTGGGATCCCTGCTGGCCAGGGCTTAGATAGTGGGATCTTGTTTTCCCAGATCTGCAGTGAAGCATGGCACGTGCAGAGGGCCTGCCATCAGAAAGCTTACTTTGCAAGACTTAGTCTGTGTTTTAATTCATCCTGTGTGTGTGTGTGTGTGTGTGTGTGTGTGTGTGTATGTGCGCAGGTACAACATGTGTATGAGTGAACATATATGTAGAGATTAAAAAGACACCTTCAGGTGTCATTCTTTAAGCACTGTTCACCATTTATTTGTTAATCTGTTTATCCATTTCTAAAGTTTCCCGTCTATGAGTCCTCTCCACAGAGACGTGTGCCACCATGGCAAGCGAAGCCACCACTCTGCTCCTTTAGCCATTGTCCACTCTCCTGTTCCCTTTTGTGCTGGCGCCAGCCCTGGCCCTTGCAGTCTCCGGACCTTCTCCATTTTGCTCTCACACCTCCTTCCCTGCTTTCCTGAGTGCCTTTCCTCCTCAGGCGGGCTGTGTCTTGCAAGTCTCTGTCTGGTCTCACTTTTCTTTAATCCAGGGAATCACGAGTCCTGCCGAAGTCAGTTGTCTCACCACCACCCAAATGGGTTCTGAATCCAAATACAAAGAAGACATCTGGTGCCGTCTTGTATGTTTTGGCTGGTTTCCCCCAGATTCTGACTTAGGCACTGCTGCCTTCCTAGGGTGGAGTAGATAGTTGGTCACGAGTTTCCTGGTCTGGGGTAGGTTCTCTGTCTTTCGTGGTGGTGGTTCAAGCAGCCAAGCAGAAGAGCCCACTCCTCTGTTTATGTTTGAGACAGGGTCTCTCATTGGAATGGTCTTCACTGATTAACCTAGACTGGCTGGCCAGAGAGCCCTGCACTTCTCCCATCTCTACCTGCCCTGGCCTTAATAGTGCGTGCACCCACCTTGGCTTTTTAAAAATGTGCCTTCTGGGGACTTATTAGTTTTTTCTTAAGATTTATTTATTTTTATGTGCATTGGTGTTTTGCCTTCATGTATGTCTGTGTGAGGGTGCCAGATCCCCTGGAACTGGAGTTACAGACAATTGTGAGCTGCCGTGTGGGTGCTGGGAATTGAACTGGGGCCCTTTGGAAGAACTGCCAGTGCTGTTAACTGTTGAGCCATCTCTCCAGCCCCATGGGGCATTAATTAAGGTCAAACTTGCAAAGCAGGCACTTTATTGACTGAAATTTCTTCACAGCCCTTAGCATTTTTACTTATTTTTTGATCCAGCCCCAATTAGAAGGACTGTGGTCTAGAGCCTCCAAGGAAAACTGACTGATGGTTTAAACCTGGTCAGGTGAGGTAGAGGACTCCAATGTGTCAAAGAAAGCGGTGGGGAGAGTGACCTAGTATGTCCACGGGACTCTATGTGCTAGCCACATTGTCCACTAAACTGGGTTCTGGGATGACAAGCCACCCTCTGTCTTACTCACCGTGGGAGAAGGACCCCTGGGACATCAGACATGCTCAGCAGATGCTAGTGGACAAACTGGGCTGTTTCAGATACAGTGATGGGTTGATGCCTGCTAAGACTGTAGGACTGTTTGTAGGGTGGAAGTTGGGAAAGAGGGCTGGATTGCAGTGTAGCAATCATTTGGGCAAATCTGTCAGCTAGGATTCTCAGATGATCGGGGCTACAGAATCCTGGAGCCCAGGTCCTCCCAGACAGTGAAGATGATCTCAGATGGAGTTTCAAAAGCTCCATTGTTGTCAAGGTAGAGAGTCGGTGGTATCGAGGCAGGCATGGTGAAGTGAGTGGGATGCTTTTGGGGAGAGAGGAGCTGGGGTTCTTGGCTTCCTGAAGGAGACAACCCCAACCCCATAGCCCTGCCAAACCACAAGTTCCCAGGGCCACCCTCTAGCATGGGAACCCTGGTGGGCAGGCTGCTGGGCTGGAGAGATGTGGGCTCAGGGACTGGCAAGGTCTGCTGTGGTGAGGAGTCCCATCCGACCAGGCAGAGGTTGGGAGGACACACGTGAGGACAGGACTTAGAGTTGCCTCTACCTCATCTACTGGGGAGCTCTGAGATCATACAGTTTTCCTGCGTCTCTCTGGGTCTCACTGTCCCCATGTGTCAATTGGGACCTCCTGCCATAGCACAGGACTGGTAGAAGCATAAGGGAGTCCTTGAGAAGATGTAGGAGGATATATGGTCTTGCGGTCATGGGTTACCATTGGGTAGCTCTGGCAGAGAGCATGCTAGCAGAGTGAGGGGTTCTGACTACTGGATAAATATGGGGCTCCCTTGGGTTCAATAGGAGGGTCTGCCTTCAGGATGGAAACCTAAGGAAAAAGCCTGGGTAAGGCCTGAGGAAGAGCTTGAGAAGGACATAGGCCACATGCCCTGGGTGTGACTGGCTCTGCTGTTAGGACTGAGATGGGTGGTGCTGGAGGAGTATCAGAGAGAGGGGATCCTGTTCTCCACTGGGGGCTCTAACACAGCTCAGCTTAATGTCAACTGGGGATGTCTGGGCAGTCATGCCCTTGCCATGTAGACCCCTCTCCTTTCTGCTCCCTTTTTCCTGACAGTCTGCCTATGGGAGGGAACTGAGCTGGCTGGCCGGGGCCTGAATGAACTTTCGGGGTGCCAAGCATCGGGGTGGTGAGCTAAGTGACATTGATGGCAATAACACTGATGGTGGTGGAGACACAGTGATGGTGACACCCAGGTGACAGTGACAGTGACGGCGATGCTTAGTTGACACTGGTAATGATTGATGGTGGTGGCACTGAAGGTGGTGGTGGCTCTAGGTATTGATGATGACACAGGTGAAGACTGGTCATGATGGTGGCATGGTGATAATGCTGCTGTCAGTGATGGTTACAATACTGATTGTGGGGGTGACATGGGCGACGATGACACTATTAGTGGTAGTGGTGGTGGTGCCATTGGTGTGATAGTGACATGGGAAGCAATGACACTGCCAGTGATGGTGATGACACTGGTTGTCATGGGGACACAGGTGTTGATGGCGTTGCTAATAATGGTGATGATGACACTAGTAGTGAATGGAGTTGCTCTTGCTATGGTGGTTGGGATGTTGACGGCTGTTAGTGATGGTGGTGACACTGGTATGATGGTCTGTGTGACGACACTATTAGCGATAATGGTGACACTGGTGGTGATGTGACAGTGGATAGTGATGACACGGTTAGTGATGGTGGTGACACTGGCTGTGAGAGTGACCAGGTGGCGATGACTATTAGTGATGGTGGTGGCACTAGTCACAATGGTGCATGGATGAAATGACCTGTAATCAATAAAAGACAGGGAGAACACTGCCCACCGTTTCTCTGATGGGGAGAGGAGCCTCCCTTTCCAGCCATAAGGGCTGGCATATGTGGGGTAAAAATAGAGCCTCACGCACTGTCTCCTTTGCCAGAGAAGGTGGTGCAGGCAGGGGTGGGAGCGCTGCTGTGTGCCTGCAGCAAATGCGCTCTTCCCTGCTCCAGTTTGAACCAACCTGCCTCTCCTTGGAGTCTGCTGATGGCTTCTGTCCCAGGGGTGGGACTTGCCTGATGGACGGACGAGCATCTCAGGGAGCAGGAGGTGTTTGTATCTCCTGTGGCATATACAGAATGTTGAAGGCTCCAGAGCAATGTTTCTCAACCTTTGGCAAATATCTGTCTCCAAAAATAGTTGCATTACAATTCGTAACAGTAGCAAAATTATAGTTATGAAATATCAACAAAAATAATGTTATGGCTGAGGGGGTGGCTCACCACAACATAAGAAACTATTAAATGGTCACAGCGTTAGGAAGGTTGAGAACCACTGCTCTAGAGTCGGACCTGGCCAGAGAGTTCACCCCTATGAAGCCCAGTTTCAATCTCTGAAATGCTGAGGGTCCTAGCTCCTTTCAGTTTCAGTTTCATTTCTGCTGCTGTGACAAAAACCTGACAAAAGCCACTTTAGGGGAGAAAGGCAAGGCAGGAACTTTAAGACAAGCCTGCTTGCTAGTGCACACAGTATTATCTCTGACCAAGGAGTTCATCTTACAGCCAAGAAGCATAGTTGGAACCGTGGAGGATGCTGCTGGCTGGCAGCCTTAGGCGTGTGTGTGTGTGTGTGTGTGTGTGTGTGTGTGTGTGTAAAGTTGTTTTAACTCTTCTTTTGTTTATTGTTAATTATACGTATGTGCCTGTGTGGGGGTATGTGTATATGAAAGTGGGTGCTCACAGAGGCTAGGAGGTACAGGTTGTGAGCCCCGTAATATGGGTGCTGGGAATTGAACTTGGGTCCTCTGGAAGAACAATGCGTGTGTTTAACTGCTGAGCTAGCTTTCCGGTCCTCAGCTAACTTTCTTATACAGTTCAGGACTACCTACTTAGGGCTGGAACCTTCTACATCAATTATCAGTCAAGACAATCTCCCACAGACATGCTCTGATCACAGGCCACTCTGATCTAGGTAATTTCTCAACTGAGATTCTCTTTCTAGATAGCTTTCAGTTGTGTTACGTTGACAGTTAAAGTCACCTAGGAAAGCTTCCCATAGGGAAGCTCAACCCTTGTGGAACTCAGATTTCTGTTCCTGGACTGGAGGAAAAACTGCCTTGTGGCAGCTTTCCCTGTAGGACAGATGTAGTATGGACCCCGTATCCCCACTCTGACTAAAGCCCTTGCTTTTCTCTTTGCAGGATCGACAAGACCATGCTGGCCGGTCTGAAGGTCAA